ACAGAGATCCGCCTGCCTCTTCCTCCAGAGTGCTGGGATTAAGGCATGCACCATCAATGCCCAGCTCTTATAATTGAAAATATTTTTTTCATACAGTGTATTCTGATCACAGTTTCCCCTCCCCCAACCACTCCCAAATCCTCCCCAACTCCCCATCTACCCAGTTAGAGACCTGCTTTTCTCTCTCTCTCTCTCTCTCTCTCTCTCTCTAGAAAACAAACAGGCCCAAGGCTGATATGTAAAATTAAATTTAATAAATAAATTTAAAAAAAAAGAAAACAAACAGGCAAAATAATAATAAACAAGAATAAAAAAGAAAATACACACACACAAACACAAAACCCATAAAAACACAAAATGAAACCATAATATATTTAAATCTACCTGACATTTATCCTGAGGGAATTTCCCAAGGCAGACTAGCATTGAATAACTTTCCTGCATGGTGTGGAGAAAGCTTTTGTTAGAATCTTTCAAAGTCAGTAACATTGTCAAACACCTGCCTTAGGTTCAATGCTTTATACAAGAAACATGTAAATTATAAGCACCTTCCCCCACCCATGAGACAAACATTTCATTCACTTAGAATAAAAGTCTATGATTGTGTTGTAATGTAAAGCAAAGAAAAAGCAGCTCTCTTTTCCTCTTTTCAATCCGAAATCCCTCACTTAAGATACATATTCCTGCTTCTTATTCTGTCTTTTAAAAGAAAACTATTAAATGGAAATGGAACAGAATATATAGTTCTTTTCAGTGCATGCTTCTTGTCTTATATGATCCAAAAAATGTAAAGAAGACCTACTACTGGGATTAGCGTCTGATGCTAAATGTCTGTTTAAATCTGTTTATTTAGAAAAGCTTTAACTTTTAAATGAAGCTTAAGAGCATGACAAATCTCCCAGTAGTTTCCCCATAAATTGTGAAGAAAGACTAGTTGATAAAACACTTTTTCTCTTCTTCCACTGGCTACATTCCCTGCCCATTACTACACCACCAGGACAGCTTGTGAATGTCACTGTCTGAAAACTGGCCCAGAAATTTATCAGATCTGCTTTAACAAGGGACAATTGCCATGAACGTTTTCACCCAGCAATTACTCGCACTAACAAATTCTAAAGCTTCATTTAATTGTAAGCACAAAGGGGATGACCAACTCTGAAAACAGCAGCCCCTTTATCCCATGACCTCATTCTTTATTCAGGCAACCTACTTCCCTGAACAATCATTCCTTTTACTGACCACACCCTTGAACAACAATTTCTCAAAGCGACACACCTCTCCACCCAGAACAGGAAAAATTTCTGGTAGTAAATAGCAATCTTAACACAGTAGGGAAGTCATTCACCGTCTTTGCAACCCAAGACAAAGGAAAATAATAATGTAAACAAACTTATGCCCAGGTGAATAGCTATTGGCAGCGAAGGTCATTTACAAATTCACATTTACCTCTAGGCTGCTCTCTGAGGTCAGATTTTTGTTAGAAGTTTTTAAATTAAAAAGAATGGCAGACTTTTTAGCCCATACATTAAAACCGAATATTTTATTTAATAAAATCCTCATGAAAAATAGAAATTAATATTTTAAAATGTAGATAGGCATATGTGCCACCTACAGCCCAGACTCTGTATGTTGATCCTCAAAGTGGACTTTCCTTTGACAAGCAAATGGTATTTATCCAGAAGACAGCATTTCCTGTAAAATAGGCACTTAAGGAGCATCTGTTCACTGAATGACTGGAATTTAAAATATTTAATTTTGATCCATTTTTCTTTCTCAAAACAGTTTCTCAGTATTCATGGAAAATATCTTGACCTTCATGAATACTTAAATTAGCCAAAGGAACAAATATAAGTCCAATGAATAATTCACATCAGTGTTGTTCATTTAAAGCAGTATGCCACTTTGAGTTAATTATGGTGGTTTAATATTTAAGCGTTAAGGATTGAATTATAAAGGAGTTTGTTGTTACTGTTTTCTTTGGCTTTAAGTAGATTCTAGAACATTATTCATTTATTTGTAAGACCACATTGTTTCTGGCTTTGTATGATTATACTTGTTCCTGAAGGCAAACCTAATAATTTAAATTCTACTATTAATTCAGATAACTTAGTAGCAACTGGTATCTACACTTAATTTTATTTGAGAAATACCCTATTAGTCAGACAAAATAATAACCACGAAAACCATAAGTATGTCTCATCAATTATAGATGAGAAACGAAAGCAATATTATGTATCATACAGAGAGAAATATAAATATGTTTATATCCATAAATGTAATTTTAGTACACAAGAGCACAGTAGTAAAAAACAAACAAACCTGTTCTAAAACACCAGAGATAGAAAATTCTAAATAGTTGTAAATGGCATTCGGTTAAGTCTAAAATCAAGATTGAGATTCATGAAACAAAGCAGTGTGGCATGAATTGTTTCTCAAAGGGAGCATATTTTACTACTGGCAAGGCTTACTTTAAAATCTGAGTTCTCTAAATATCCTATATTCACCAAAACAAAGTAAGAATTTAATTGAATTCATCATGGCCAGAAATTGAATATTAATCCTCATTATCTTGGCTTCCCCTGTAATAAACTCTGACATCAACATAATTGCCACATATTAACTCATCTAAAACACTGCATCTTAAAGAGAAATTTTATTAAAATTATAAAAGGAGTTTTGAGTAATATTCACTTCCCAGTGCCTCGATGGTATGTAATAAAGGTACCATTATAGCGTAGACATTTTGTCAGCATGAAGGTAACTTAAGATCACATCTAGGACTGCTTTACATAGTGTCACACTATCATCCCAACAACAAACAGGAAGAAAGGAAAACTAAATAGAAGTGATTCCTATTCATTATCATTGTGGTAACTATCTTAAAAAACTGGTTTGTTGTAGGCCCTTTTAGTGGATTTCATATCCAAGTCAACTTGAAATTTTATAGTCAACACTTCTCTTTCCTATCAAAGGAATCTTCTTCCTTTCTGCCCACATAGCTTGAATCTCATCCCCCTTCTCTTCACTCATCCATATTTTTATTTTTCTCTAGTGATAAATAACTCCAGAAATCACAAGGAAATCCATCCCAGTCTCTTATCTCAGCTACTAAGGTTACACTTTCTGCCCCTAAGGGTCTATACTATTTTTTTCTTCAGGGAACTAACTTTCAGAATGGAAATAGTCTTAGAGGGATTAACTTAGCAAATTCCATATAAAAGAAGGAAAGTCATATGAAAAGCCATCTTAGTTTAGCCCTGACATTATTATTAAGAAGGAAAGTTGAAACAAGGAACAAACAATAAAACACAATTCTCAAAAATGTCCTATATTCAGTATATATATATATATATATATATATATATATATATATATATATATATATATATATATTGCTCTTAAGTATGTATCTATCATTCTTTTACTAGCATGAAAAAAAAGGCTGTAGGTTGAAATAACTGAAAAGTAGGATGACTTCAGCATTCCTATGATAATAGTAATTGTTGTTTTTAACCTTCCTTGTTTTGGAGGTATTAAGGATCTAAGATGATATCAACTTTCTTGCTCATCAACATGCTAATGTTAAATATTGGAATGTAAATGTGCGTCACTATGATCACTTATACAACCTTGGAATTTTTTTAACCTTCATACTTTTCTACCCCTTGAACTCAATACAGATGACAGTTTTTCATAACTACAGACAGAAAGGGTGTGGATTTGGATGGCAGGGAAAGCGGGGAGGGTCTTTGAGGAGTTAGGAGGACACTAAATATATTCTATTAAAAAAATCTATTTTCAATAAAAGAAAAATAGGATAAAAAGGAAATTATAAGTATTAAATCCTAGATTTATTTTGTATTTTCCCCTGAAAGTATGCTAAGTGTTTAATAAAACAATGGTAAAATTGTTGTGCCTATAGTTTGTAAACCATATGTATCTTGGAGGAAATCTATTTTTTAAGTTTCTCTGTAAATTTTAAGGATGTTGCTTCATATTCTACTTGAACTTTGGACTTTGGAAAAATAACTTGTACTCTTTCCAATTTATATAATAATGTAAAATAGGAAAGGACCTCAGTCATTGCTTTATGAGGTCTTCACAGTATAAACATCTTGAAAATAAAATTTCAGTTTGGACACAAGTTCACAGAAAGCTTAAAGATATGTACATTTAATATAAAGAGAGTTAGAGAATCAAAACACACATTAAGTTGTCATTTTATATCGGCTTTCCACATTGTTTTTCATGTACTTGAAAGACTATTAGTACAGATATTGATGGTAAAAACAAAACAAACAAAAATCTTAGAAACTATTTCATTTTCAAGAATGCCTTAGAGATCCATCTTTTGTAGCTTTTATATAATACTGGCTTACCTCTTTCTTGCTTTTCAAATCCTATAACCTGACTTCTACCAACATTCTGTAAATTATTCAGCTAGTATATATAAGAATCAATGTGTCATTTTGACACATAAGAAAATTCTAAGACATGTGCACCTGTCATTTAGCCAGGATCAGCATACTATTAGCTGAACACAAATAACTACACGTCACTCCATATATGCCATTGTCTCTATATCATTCTACTTGGCACAAAACACCTGTTTGCTCCTGATATGAAGCGAATCAGTGGGGAACTCTTCTAAAAATAAACCTTTTGCATTTCGGTTGATGACTACTTTTGTCGTTAAAGGCAAAATGGTTTGCCACTTACAACACATCTTTCAATCAACTTCAATTTTTAAAATGTGCCTTCCTGTGCTCAGGTTAGGTTATGTAAATCATTGGAATGGCGTCCAACCAACCACAGGCACTAGTAAATGAAAAAAAAAATGGCTAAAAGATAGAATTTGGGAGACTGTCCAACACATACATAATTGCAGTTCACCAAGACCTATCCTGTAGATGACAGTGAATAAAGCAAAAAAGAAGGCAAGTGAGGATTAAGATTTGTTTCTCTTTTCCCAACAATCTGGAATAACTGTCTTTTATTACCTGCGAATGGTCGCTCCAAACCAAATTTTGGTAGGAGGAGGCAGTTTTGAGGGGGGAGAGCACTTCCCGTGAGCCGAGGGGGTCCAAGGCCTGCACCACCTTATTCATAGGCCCGCTGTAGGTCCTCACTCGCTCATACACTACATTTTTTTCTGGAGGCTGCTGGGCTTGACTGGACTGATGGTAACAGTGGTAATGCTGAGGCTGGCACTGCAGCACTTCTGTGGGCTGCTGGGTCCCACAACTGCTGCTGCTGGTCTCGCTCCAATAGCTTGAGCTCATCATCTTCTCAGTGGTCAGAAAGGGTTTCCCCAGGTGCTCTCCCTACGGAATAAACAGAGAAAGATGACAGCAGAGCAGGCAGGCAAGCAGGGACACGCAAAGAGGGTCTTTTATCAACCACCTTTTTTCCCTCACGGTGCCAGTCAGAGATGAGTTACCTGAGCAGCAGCAGGAGCAGGTCTGGCAGCTGCACAGTAGACAGCAAACTATTTGAGCTCAAATGAAAAGTGGAGCCACCCTGGGAGATTGCTCCAGGAAATGGCACTGACACGCCCCTGAGGGGCGGATTCACCTGGCAGGTTTGCGTGCCAGGAAAGGCCCTGCCTTGCCACAGAGATAGCAACAAGGCTTCACAGTAGGTAAAGGAGTCTGAAAAAAAGAAGAGACAGAAGTTCAGGGCAGGAGATCCTAGGCCTGGAAACCTGAAGACAAAGACACCAGTGTCCAAACTTGTTAGAGAAAACAAAGCGACTTTCCCATGGCTTGTAAACTTAGCAAAGGTGGTTTCAAGCCTAAGTACTCATTCCAGGATCTCAGAGCAAATTAAAGGGTATTAGCCTAGGGACAAAGTAATTTTCAGAGATAAATTTGCATTCTTCACAAACTCCTGGTGATAATGCAGATAAAGCAGATTGCCATGGGGACTCCAGGAAAGAATTCTCTAATTTGTGAACCTGTTTATCTGGCTCCAGTCACAGTACGTGTTTTGAACGACATTGACACAGATGTATCCAAATGATTGAATTTCTGTCTAGATATTGGAGGGGTGGGGTGGGAATGGTTCAGGAAAATGCTTTGCGTTTTGCTGTTTGCTTTTACTGGTTTGCATTTTTACAAAAGAATTTGCCCTGACATTTTGTGGTGCCTTAGGAAACATGGAGCTCCACTGTTTCTTTACTCTCCAATTGTTAAAGGAACTGTAAGCCTTTAAGGTGCTTTTTGAGACAAACAGATTTAAATGTGTTCAGCACTTATTTGCAACCACTTGCAAATCCAATCATAATGTTATTTACCAATCAGGTAATGCCTTGCAAGTCACTCCAGCACAACTCAGATGTGAAATACTACCTGAGGGCACCTTCAAAAAAGAGTGTCTTCTTTATGTGTGTATGTACCTTGAGACCACTATTTCAGAAAGGAGATAATGTCTTCCATCTGGGTAGCCATCTTTTTTGTTGTTGTTGTTCTGAGTAGTAAACAAAAGCTAGTCACTTCCTGTGTGCTGGATCTCGTTCAAGAAAATATATAAATTGCTACATTCTCACAACTTGATAAGGATGGACTGGTGAGAAACTGAGGCACAGATATAAAGACACTGAAAAAAGTTCCCACAGTTAAATAAGTGTTAAAGATGGATCTGGAATATGAATATAGGGGGATTTCCATCAGAGTCTAAGCTTTTAGGAACTACATTATATAGCTAAATAAATTTTTAATTGTTCATCACATACCAATCTAAGAAATCTCCTAGGTGACAGGGAAATGAGTTACAAGAGTCCTTCAAAGAATCTGAATCGTTATGGAAGGAAGGTATATGAAAAATTAACATTTAAAATACTTTAAAATACCTTGTTGGTATTATACATTTATTGCTGTTTGCAGAGCTTTCAGACACAATTCTTGTTCATTTAGATGTTGTTCCACAAAAATCAATGTAAATGATCTAGACATGGTGGTACATGACTGTAATCCCAGTCCTTGTAATGTTGAGACAGAAGGATTGCCATGAGTTTGAAATCAGTTCCAGCTAAACAATGAAGTCAAGTCCAGTCTGAGCTAAAGACTGAAGCCTTGTCTCAATATCCATATAATAAAATAATTAATGAAATTAACTAGAAATACATGGTCTACCATGTAACCAGGTATAGTATCAGATCAGTATCTAATTACTAACCTTGGCTACATCATTGTGCATAAACTTTGTGTGAATGGGAACTGGATATAAATAGTATCATCTAGTTAATACCAACTGAAATCTGAATTTAACATACACACACATGCCATTAGTGTCTGTTGCCAGTCAATGGGGAACCTTGTCTGTAAAGAAGAAATTGAGGTGAAGAATAAAAGTATGGTACCCATAAAATTTTGACTGTATTTGCCCTCTGCATTTCTTAGAAATAGAGGCAGTCAACTTTGACATAGTTGGGCTACAATTAATGTGTGAAATTGATATGCTCACTCAGTTTTTAAGCATCTTATATTTTTGTTCCCATTCTTAGGTATAAAGAATACAGCTTGAAGCTCAAGAATAAAGAAATGATCTTATGCACCACATGGCAGACATATCAAGTCTAATTACAAATCAGATTCTGACCATCCTCATTCACTTCCAACAATTTAATCAATCATTCTAGAGAAAGATTCTATTCCTTCTCTGAGAACTCCTTTCTGAATTCATAATCTGCATTGCCAAATCTTTTTATTGATAAATAAGTATAAATGCACTTATCTATGTAACAATGTACCTACAACATTTCACACTTGAAAATCCAGTGGCTTGACACTGTGGTCTACAAGCTTCATGATTGTATTCTCCATCTCCCTTTGGTCTATGGGGTAATACAAGTTCATTTCTTATATTTAGCACTAGACTTGTTCAAAGAATTCTTGATTATATTTCCAGCAGTCTTTTGTTTCAGTCTATAATATAGATATTTTATATTTGGTACCTAAAAAACTAAATTTGGATGTTTGATTTGGGAGAATAGAACAGATATTCCCTAAGAAGATAATTTAATTTAAAACGAGCTACAAATTTTATTCACTTTGCCTAGCTATAAAAGCAAGTCATTCTTTAGGAATTCAAATGAAGGTGTTAGGGTGATGATTCAGGTGTTAAGAGCACTTGCTTGCTCTTGCAGTGGATTGGGTTAAGTTCCTAGTACCCGCATGGTTGCTCACAACCATCTGTAACTCCAAGTCCAGGGTAATTGATGCCCTCTTCTGACCTCTGAGGACAACAGAGATATGCACATGGTACACATACATACATACAGGGAAAAGACTCACACACAGTAAATAAAATGTTTTAAATCTAAAAAGGAAAAAAAGTTAAAAGTTCAAGTGAGTACATACACAAGTAAAGTAGAAAATGAAATTCCCATATTAATGATAGACATAAAAATTAAAACATCAGCTAAATATATTAAAAATAATAAAAAATAATTTGCTTTTTGGCTGAGCCATCTTGAGGGTTGTTTAAAAAGTACTGATTTGCCCTACAGAGGATACTGGATAAACAAATTCAGAGTCTCTTATAATTACAGCACAAAACACTCGTGTAAACACAGTTATGTGTGCAGAGGGGGAAGGAAGGGGCTTTTCCTGCATGCTAAGCAAGCTGTTGCTTCTTCCATGGATACCATCTGAGTGCCCTCTAATTTAAGTCACTTTTGATTTGGGGGCCTCAATCCTACAAGATAGCCTGAAAGCCTTAATGTGCTCTACTTTAGTGTTTCCAGAATCCAATGATCATCTTGTAGGTACCTATAGGCTGCCAGTGGTTAATCAGTTAATTAACATGCCAAAAAAGGCAAATCATTTTAGAAATTACATTCCACCTCCTGGTAGATTCACAGACCTTCACAGTCGTATACTTCTACTGTACAATCAGAATCATAGAGACAGGGACAAGTGACCACAAAACCTCAGAAACTGTGAGGCAAAGACCTACATCCAGTAACTGATGGAAGCAGATGCAGTGATCCACAGCCAAGCACTGGGCTGAGCTCCTGAAGAGCAGTTGAAGAGAAGGAGGAGGGATCATATGAGCAAGGGGTGGGGGCACCACAGACACGGACTAACCTAGCTAGTGGAAGCTCATGGACTCTGGACTGACAGCTGGGGAACCTGCAGGGGACCTAACTAGGACCTCTGAATGTGGGTGACAGTTGGGTGGCTTGATCTGTTTGAGGAGGCCCTGGCAGTGGGACCAGGACTTATGCCAGGTGCATGAACTGGCTTTTTGGAGGCCATTCCCTACGGTGGGATACCTTGCTCAGCCTTGATGCAGGGGGGAGGGGTTAGACCCTGCCTCAACTTGATATGCCAGACTTTGTTGACTACTCAAGGGAGGACTTGCCCCCTCTGAGGAGTGGATGGGGGTGGGATGGGGGAGGTGGGGAAGCTGGAGAAGTAGAGGGAGGGGTATCTGGAGATGGTATGTAAAATGAAAATATAATTTTAAATTAAAAAAAGAAAGTTAAAAAAAAGAAATTATATTCCAGGAAAAGAGGAAGACCAGGTGTGTGTGTGTGTGTGTGTGTGTGTGTGTGTGTGTGTGTGTGTGTGTGTGTGTGTGTGTTTTAAACACTATCCTATCTATCTCACAAACTTATTAGGTTCAAATATTAAAATACTTGCTAGTTGCAATATACTATCCAGCTATATGACTTTAAAAATACATTGTTCATAGAATTCAGTGTAATTTCTCTGAATTAGTCTATTTGAAAACCAAATTAAATGTCCCAGTGAAGTATGGGGCTGATTTTGGAAACTTTAGCTGCCTGAAATCATTACGATAAAACAAAGCAGCAATTAATTTATCAAAATTGACATATAGAACTATATTAGATCATTAAACAGCAAAAGTAATTATAAATTTGTCACCAACTATATTTCATCAGCATCAGCAGTTTTTATGTGTATTACTAATCCTTTACTCCACCTTCTGTTTTATGAGGATGATGCTTAGATCTATCTCTAGTCCAGGCTCATAGCTTGGGGCTAATGATACAAGAGCAACAGATAGAGTTAACAGAAAGTTACTTAAGCCTTTTTTGCTTCTGCCTTCTTTATGATAAAGAGAAGAATGTTCATGGTATAAAAGGTCATCAAGCATTGGTCGGAAGGAGGTAAATCCCAAGGTAGGTGAAACCATTGTATGATTATATGAAAGCAGCTGTGTGTTATTAACTGAGCCCAATTCATTTGATCCTGCAGAACTCCATTCCAGCCTGCTGACAGGACTTAACACCGATCTTGTTTAACTGCTGTTGGGAAATTTTTGACTGGGCAATGGTTCAGGATATGAGCTATGAAAAAGATATTTATTTTCATTTGAACAAAAATGAAAGGCAGCATTTATAAACAGGACAATTTAATCTGAAGTGAGTTCAAATTAAAATTCTATATCAAAATACTAGCTGGTTAATGATACATATAACTAAAATGAAGGCAGATA